GGTTTTGAAGAATCTGTGGGCCCTAACCCCTAGCCTGGGCAGTACAAATGGAAACTCAGTATAACTAAAATAATGAAACGTTCTGGCTTTAGTTATGAATTTCCTAGCTTTACAAGCCCAAAGAGGGTTACTGTGACCAGTAGGTGTAGGGTAAGGGGGCAAGAAAAGGGACATGGGGAGGGAGGCTGTGTAGGGGTGCAGAGAAGGAGAAAACCAGTTGTGGCGCCACAGGTCACCAGGACAATTCCCCCACCACATGGCCAGGGGGCTACCATCCTGGCGCCTAGAGGCTGCTGGCCCCTTCCAGCCCCATGCCCCTCCCAGTCCCATTGTATACTTTCCCAGCAGGATGGTAGTAAAAAGAGCCTGGGATGACAGACTCTTGCTACGCTGGGGCCTGGGAGTCACAGCATCCTTGTTCCTCTGCAGGATGGTACTGGAGTTGAAGGGACTTTAAGGCGCACCGGGTCGGTAGGAGTTGCCAGTCAAGTCACTGCCCTTGAGAGAATGAGTGACTATTGCTCTGGGTCTAAGCCCCCACACAAAGGGCATAAGCATGAGGGCCTTCAGGTGTAGAGCACTTCCTAACAGGCAGCCCCTGGGGAAGGCAGGGCTGGCTGTCAGACCAGCTGATGGTCACAGAGGTGAGCAGCCAGCACAGATGGCCTGGGCCCCACAAGCATAAAAGGTGGTGGGTAGGGAATGGGCAGATCTGTTCCTAGACTTGCACAGCCCAGAGCAAAAATACAAATAGAGACCTGTAGGGTTAGGGCAATAGCCTATGCTAATTGGCTGGGGCTATTGTCGGACCCCTGTCATTGCAGCCAGTTGTGCAGGCTAGGCAACTCATAACTAAAGCCACACGTTTCATTGTTTTAGTTATACTAAGTTTCCATTTCTATTGTCAGGGCTGGGGCTCAGACCCTTCAAACCCATTGTACAGACTGGGTCACAGACCCCTCACACATAGGTCCACACTTTAGGTACTTGGGAAAGATCCCAGGAGCTGTTGGCAGATAGTAGCGGTGGTGATGCCCTTTCAGGGGCACTGGCAGCAACAGCCCCTAGCAGTAGTAGTGGCCTCCCTTGGGGTGGGGGGCACCATGGATTAGAGCTGCTCGTCTTTTATACTTAAGTCCATAACCCAGGACACCTGGGCGCACATGCGCAATTACATTAGACAATAACCAAGGAACACGTGGGTACACGTGCGTATTTATATCAAATACTCAGCAAGATTCTGAACATCTGATGGACCCTGACCATTTTCCTTCACTTTCCCTACAGAGACCCATGTTTCTTTGTCAGATATTTGAAGGTTATAAAGCAAGCCAGGAAACTGTTAAATAAAATAGGTTTGACTTTTCCGCCTTGACAAATATACCTTCATAATGCAAATTGAAATATATGTGTAAAGTTACAGTTCTATATGACTGAAAATGCAAAATATCAAGGATGTCTGAATTTAATTATTGCATATCTCTGGATGTTTTGTTGATGGGCTGGGCTTGTTCAGATAGCTAATAAGACTTACAATTCATCATTATTTATTCTATAAAATACATTTTATTGTCTTCACTTTAGCAAGACCACCAATTATGTTGTTATAATCAAGATTTTCATTTCATTTGTGTTCTACTGATGGCAATGACCTAAGGAGTTAAAAATAAAATGAAATTGTATTCATAAAATTATCTATTAAAACTACACATCATTAATGAGTATCAGATTTTAAAATAAAATTATTTAAATAGAGATAAGGTATTCAAATTTTTGAAGATTTTATAAAAATGAAACTATAGTTCTAGTGTTCCATGTCATCTAGTTGCCAATTTAAAGAATTAATATCACACTTCATATTGCAATAATTGAGTAATATGAATTGTTAAATATCGTGAGATGTTCCTCGGCCGCCGTGTGCACTTCTTGTGAATACCACACTAATTCATGAGTACTTTTAGAACCACAAATTGGAACAGGAAGAAATGCCAAAGGAAAAAAAAAAGGATACTTCACATTACAGGGAAACTGATATTTTGTTATGCAAGAAGCTATTGCAGTTGCTATCTGAAAGGATTTGACAAGTTCATCTGTCTTCCCCCTTAAGCATTTTTACCATCCGCTCCTCGCCCAGCACTGTCTGTGTCCCCCTCAGCAGCAGCACAACCCACAGAGCTTCATGGTGGTGGCATCTCACAGAGTCGCCTTTCTTTCTTCAGCCGAGTTTCGCTGGGGCCTGAGTGGTGGTAGTCAGGGGATCTAATGTTTAGGATTACAGGTCGCATGGGTGTCGCACGATAGAGGCTCCTGTATGTTCTCTAATAAATGTATTCATGAGTTGTGTTTGTGATGTGTGGGGCTCTGAGTGGTGGCCCCTTTTCCCTGTCTAAGGGTGGTTTGGGGGGTGGGTCTTCTTGCCAGTGAGGTGAGCTCTATCATACAATTAACAATAGATAAATGATGGATCTTATGTCACAGCTAGAGTTTAAATCTAGGTATCTTAATTCACTCGTTTATTTCATCCGTGTATGCATTTGCTCACCCATTTAAAAACCTATATGTGTTTGCTCCAATTCTTCATTTCATTCATTGTAAGATGCCAGGCCATAGCAGTCTCCTAGTGCAGCCCATGATTCTACAGATGAGGGAACTGAGGCACAGAAAAAGGCACTGATGTACCTGATTACACAGCTAGTCCACAGCAGAAAAGCCCCCAGGCCAGGTGTCACAAAGCAGTGGATGGGTGCCAAGTTTCAGTTTCAGGTAAATTCTGAATAGGTGTTGCTATGTCCCAATCAGCTTCCCTTCCTTCATCAGCTCCTACCACCCAACTGCCTGCCCCGGGGCCCTGGGGAGATCCTGCAGGGGGTTTCTGCTAGAAGAGCCACTTCCTGTTTGGGGCTGAACACTTCCTTCGAGTGACTCACCGGCTCCCACTGGCCCCGTGCTGGGAAGGCAAAGTGGGGTGGAGCCAGGCCCCACCCTCTGCCTGCGACCCCAGTTGGGTGACCCAGAGACTGAACCGTGGGCACAGGCTGGAGGTAGGGGATGGGGAAGGGAAAGAGGTTGTTAGACTGTTCTGCCTCACCCAGCCTGGTGGCAGGGGCTCTGGAGAGGCCAGGGTGGGGATGGGGGTGGCCTCCACATCCAGCCATCTCCACATCTGGTTTCCAGGGGAGCTGCTGGCCCCAGCGGGCTGAAAGCAGAGCTGACACCCCCTCAGAGAGAATCTGGCACTTTCTCTTCCTTGTGGGACAGTGAAGAGTGGAAAGAGCACTGAGCTGGAGTCACGGATTTGTTTTTCTGACACAAACTTTCTGGTGACTGTGTCAGTTCCCTGCCCCCTTTCTGGGCCTCAATATCCATGTCTGTCCAATGTGGGGAGGGCTGGATGGCTGTGACACTTTGTGCAGCTTGGTATTGCAGGGTTTACATTAAGAGGTTTGGGTTTGAATTTTGGCTCTGCCACTGTGCTGGGTATGTCTGCCTCTCACAGCCTTTGTTCTAAAACTTGAAATAATAATCTCTTTAAGTGTTTTACATATGTTAACCAATTTAATCCTCACAACAATCCTTTGGAGTTTTTTGGGTTTTTATTATTATTATTATTATTTTATTATTATTATTTTATACACAAAAAGATTGAGACACAGAAAAGTTAAGTAACTTGTCCAAGGTCACACAGTAAGAGCCAAGATTCTAACTTGGGTTGTTTGACCCCAGCTCCCATGCTCTTACCACTATATCTTTGCTACTCAAATTGTGTTCTATGGACATGCAGCATCGGCATTACCTGGGAGCTTGTCAGAAATGCAGAATCACAGGCCCAGCATAGACCTACTGAATCAGACTGCATTTTAACAAGATCCCCAGGTGATTTGTGTGCACATTAAAGTTTGAGAAGCCCTGGTCTATTTATATTCTTTCTGCCACTTAGGCCTGAGGATCACTGTGGGAGATAAAGGTAAAGGTAATAAATATGTCTGGTAAACTGTAAAGTACAGTGCATTCAGGACACTGTGAGAAACCTGTGGACAGGAGGTGCAGAGAGGCAGGGTTGGGGATGCCCCAGGTGTCAGGCTCTCAGTAGCCGATGTCATTTCCAAGCTGTCTCTGAGCCCAGCTCTTCACCTCCAGCCCGAGGCTGAGTCTTAGCTGTGTGTTTCTTGCTGGTGTGTGGCTGTCGGGTCCAATTGGGTTGGGGGGACTTCTCATGCCAGCATGGGCCCTGGGCCAGGCCTGAGCCACCACTGCTCTGGGTCTGCAGGGTACCAGGAGGCCTGGGTCTCACTACCCACCCCTCTCTGGGTGACACAGGTAGGCCCCTAGCCCTGTCAGCCTCAGTGTCACCTAGTAGGCAAGATGGAAGTGTCCTCTGAAGCCTGCAGTGTTGACTTGAAGCCCTCCCCTCCTTTCCTCTCCCCTCCCTGTGGCCTGTCAATGCCATCTCTCCTCCCAGTTCCTGGGTGGGGGTCTGTGCTGCTGGCTGCAGGAGCTGGAGCTGGGGGAGGTGGTGCATGAGTCAGAATGCAGGCAGATAATTGCGGTGCCCCAGATCCGCCTCCGGCCCACCAGCCCTCCCTCAGCGGCTGCTTTAGAACAGCTGGTTTGGTGGCTACTGAAGAGAAGCAGGTCCCTGGGTAGTGTGAAAGGGCCTCTGCCCCAGGGTGGCTGGGTTTTGGAGCATTTCTCCGTGGGTCCTGGGGGGTGGGCATGAGTGGTCCAGGGAGCAGGTTGTCTTGGTTTGGGCTCGGGCTTGTTTGTGGGCAGCATGTTTGGAGGTGGGATGGCGTGTGCTGGATTTCATGGCCCAGGGTTGGGGCAGGTGGGTCCTTTCAGCTCACCCACCAGCTTCACAGCTTTCCCAGGGAAGGGACTAGCTGTGACCTGTCACTGGCCCCACACTCAGCACACGGTGCTCACCAAAGTTTGGGTGGGAGGGTGGAAGTCAGGATGAACTGATGAATGGTCTCACTGGGTTTGTCTTCTTGTCCCCTCAGCTCTCCCAGTGAAGTGACATCACCGCCTCTGTGGATAGGACGCCCTCAGGAGCCCAGCTCATAGCCACTGGTACCTTCTTCCAGGTAAAGACATATGAAAGGAAGGAGAGAGAGAGAAAGGAGTTAGGGACGAGCTGCAGAGAATAGTCTACTGGGTTCTAAAACATCTGCCTCTCCCATGGGGGCAGCACCCCAGTTTATGAAAATAGGCAGGAGGAACAGGGATTTTTGTCCCATTTTATGGACACAAAAAAACTGAAGCTCTGAGGAGAGTTGTCTCTTGCTTAGTACAGTGTGTACCACGTACCTGTCTAAGGGCCTTACATGTATTAGCTCATTTAACAGCACATGAGGTTGGTGCCATTATTATCTCCACGTTATAAAGGAGGAAACTGAGGTATAGAGACATTAAGAACCTTGCTCAGTTATGTAAGTGGTAGAGCTGGGTTTCAAACCCAGGAAGGCTGGTCTGTTCACAACCCCTATGATTTACTGCTTCTTTAGAGCCAAGTATTAAACTAAGTGTCTTTGACCTCCAATTTGGGGGTTTAATGAGCTCCCAACTCTAGGAAAGATTTGTATTTTAAGAAAGAATACTAGAGAAAATGATGCTTTATCTGAAGGAATGAATGGCAAATGGTGGAATTGGAGGCCTTGAATCATGGAATTGTCATAAACCTTCACAGTGGGCAAGCCAACTCCTGTGACTTTCTTCCTCAGCATTAAAGCAAGGCCAATTTTCTTTGGTCACCAAAGGAAAAGCTAGACATTTGAAAAAGGGGAAGAAGAGTTTGGGCTCCAGGTTCTCAGGTGTGCCTGGCAGCAGGGAGACTACTGCTCTTTTCAGAACACTGTGAAGAAGAGAGATGTTAGTGATAGTGAAGAAATTAGTGTCCTCTGCTAAATCTGAGGTCATCTTACTCTAGATCTGGTACAGAAATATGTAAGCACAAACAAAGGTTTAAGAAAATTTTGGGGCTGGCCCGGTGGCGCATTGCTATAGTGCGCCGCTTGGGAGTGCGGTGGCGCTCCCGCCGAGGGTTTGGATCCCACATATAGACCGGTTCCTGCTCACTGGCTGAGCGAGGTGCGGGCGCAGCACCAAGGGTTGCGATCCCGTTGCTGGTCCCGGTCCGGTCCGGGCGCGACACTGAGGGTTGTGATCCGTTGCCGGTCACGAAAAAAGGAAAAAAAAAAAAAAAAAGAAAAAGAAAATTTTGTGGGAGAAAAGTACCTAATGAGACTTTTTTTTTTAGTTACTTTTTTCTGTAAATTGGGAAAAGGCTAATTATTATTCAAAGGCAGAATTCAGACCTGGCTCAAAAGTGGCTCTGCAGTTGTGTGGTGTAAGGGGCTCTGATTGGTTCTTTCTTTCCTTCCTTCTTGCATTTAACCAGCTTTTTGACTAACAAATAAATGGGCACCTCCTTGGTGCCACGCCCAGTGCAGGGAACACAGGTACCCTACATAGTGACTCCTCTAGCATGGATGGGGCCTCGGGTATCTGGTGTCCCCATTACCTGGTACAGGGCCACAGACGCTATGGTCTTCAGAAAAGCTTGGTCAAATGGATCAGAAAAGTCTCACCCCGGGAAAGCTCTGAGTCTAATGGGGGAGGCAGCCATGGAAGCAGGTAATTACCAAGCACTAAGGCCTGTGATCATCTCAAGAGCTCTGCCAGGTGATGTGAGCACAAAGGGAGGAGGCAGTGGGCTTCTTGGGGGGCGGGGGATCAGACCAAGCTTTGACCAGGGTCCATTTGTTAAGATGGGTGGGATTTGGATTGGGGTAGGGGGAGGACTTCCCTGGCAGAGGGCCCAGCCTGAGCAAAGCACGGAGGTGGGAACGCTGGGTAGTGTGGTGTCCTTAGAGCACAGCGGTGCAAGGAGGGGCAGGGAGAGGTGAGGCTGGAAAGGTAGGTGTTGGGAGGGAAGTGAGAGAAAGATTCCTTAAATAATAGGATGTACTTCTCTCTCCATCCCCAGGGCCTGCTTGGGAGGCCTATTTGTATAACAGCTCTGCTATTTTATATAAATAAGCAAAATAAATCATTGCTCCTCATTCCTTCAGGGGCAAAACTGGGCAGAGTTTTGCTCAGCACAAGTCTCTGCCACACTCAGCTTCCCCCCTCCCCCTCACCCATTGCAGGTGGCCCCTGTCCCTGAGACCCAGAGAGAGGCATCGGAAGAAACCAGCAGAGGTCCTGGAGGGCACTTGGTGGCTCTACCTGTTCCAAGGAGAATCTATCAGTGTCAGTGGGGGACAAGGGGCGGGAACTTCTCTCAGGATGGCCTTCCTACAGTCCTGGTAGCTTAGAGGGAATTGCTCAGCCCTCCAGTGGGGGAAGGCCCATCACTGGCAGTTTGCAAGCCTATGCAAGCCACTGGCTCATTTGGAGCCTGGAGAACCACGAGTAGGAGCTGTACAGGGGATTTCTGCCTAGGAAGGAAGGCTGGATGGAGTGGCTCCAGGACTTTGCTGGTGCTGACATTTTATGACTTAATAGTCTGAAAGCCAGGGGTAAGTCTAAGGTCCCAGTTGGATTGTTGCAGGATTCCACGATTCCATGAGTCTTGGGTGAGATGATTCTAAAACTCTGGTTTGAGGCATTTGTGATTTGAGGTTCTGAGATGCTAAGCTCTGCTCTCTGGGCAAAGCCAGGTCACTCTTGTTGACTACTTAGCCCAAGCTCGTAGCCCTGAAAGAGAGGTCCTTTCTGTGCCAAGAGAACTCAAGGCCCTTGGGCAGGATCCTGAACCTAGCTCATGTCCAGACCATTGCCTCAAACATGTCCCAAACATATGGCCTGCCCTCCAAGGGCCTCAGCTGAGGGAGAGGCTCAGCAGATGTCTGCTCAGGATGCATGGTTCTCAGCCTGCTGCCTGGCAAGTCCTGACCTCCTCCAGTCTTAGCTTCCTGGTCTATAAAATGGGGGCCTTGGTATTGACCTGTGGAGCTGGTGTGATACTTCAGTGAGATAACGTGTGTGGAGGTTGTTTGTAACCTGTAAAGCACGGTACCTGTGGGTATAATGGTTGTAGCTGCTTTTGCTACAATGAAGTTGTCTTCTTGAAAGAAAGGTCCTTGTCTACTTCTCTGGGACTCCCTCACAGCTCCAAGTGGTGCCTGGCACATGGTGGAGGCTTCCTAAACATGTACTGAATGAGCTAAAGAGCCCGAGATACGGGACAGATGGTACCACAAGGCTGCAGTTCCCAGGAGGTAGCTCACCCTTGCCGCTGGGAGGAGCGGGGAGCATTTCTGTGGGAGGGCAGCCAGGAGGATGGAAAGGACTGGAGGACCCACTGGGGTGAAGGAAGCCTGCACGGCCTCCAGGCCCTACCAGCCTCCCCTCAAGAGGAAGAGCAATGAGAGGTCTCCTGGGGCAGAAGTGATGGGTAAACAGGAGGCCTGGCATCACCATGGAAAGAGATTAATAATGACCCTAATGATGGCATGATTGGTTCTTTGAGGGCCCCACCCTTGACTACTGAGTAACTTTTCCCCAAAGAATGAGAAGGCATGCTGGGGGACTGGGCGGCACTGGCCCACGTTGCCTCTTTACCTCTGAGGCCACCTCCCTGCTGCCTTCCCCAGCCCCTCCTCCCCCAGCCTCTCCCCACTGGCAGCTGCTTTGGTGATTTGACTTCCTTCCTGCCCTAGGTCTGGCTACCCTGTCTGCTGATTTCAGTAGAATCTAGGGCTTTCTCTGAGGCCCAGAAAGGTGGAGCAGCTCACCCAAGGCCACACAGTGAGATGATGGCAGCCCAGAACTCTTGATTCAAGCCATCTCATGAGACTGCACGGTGGGAAATACAAGTATATTAAATCTTTGAGCACTCCCAAAAAGCTACCTGCAGAAGGCTGGTGCTGGAGAGCAGTGGGGTGGGGCCTGGGATTGGCTGGTTCCACATTTCTCTGGGTGGGCTTCTCACAAGCCTCAGGGTGTGGGAAGTCTCCAAATTAGCCCCATCTCCCAACTGCAGCCCTAGCCTTGGGGCCAGAGATTTGCTTTGTAGGTTTGGGTTTGGTTGTTTTGTTTTGGGAAATGGTCCAGTTGGTGAGCTGCTTGGGGGGTACCCTGCTGTCCCTGGCCTCCCAGAGGGAGGGGAGGGCTCCTGATGGTAGCAAACCCCACCACTGCCACTGGATGTAACCCAAGTGGGGCTTAACTAGCTGGCTGGATCCCAGGGATGCTCTCTGTCCTGGGATAAGCTCTGATCATTCCCCTCCCTGCCACCCAGGCTTTCTCTGCACTGTCCCTTTACCTAGAACGCCCTTCCTTTTCCCCTTTATGCTACAAAGCTTTCCTTATTCCTGAATTCTGCTTAGATCCCACCCTCTCCAGGAATCCTCCACACAGTGCTCAGTGCTGTGACCCAAGGAAGCACAGAGTTGAGGGATCCCCAAGAGACCCTGACCCAGTCAGGGTGGGCTTCTTGGAGGAGGAGCTGAGTCGGAGTTTTGCTAGATGTTGAGGATAGGCAGAGGGGCTCCAGGGCTAAGGTGGTTTCACAGACAGGTGCTCCCGGTTTGGGAGCAGAGGATAGGTGAAGCAGTGAGGAAGGACCACAGAGAGGCCCTGATCACAGTCCAAGACCATGTTCCCCAAGGCCATGTTCCCTGAGCCCTGTGGGAAGAAGTCACCATGGCCCTGTGCCTTTCATGCTTGGGGTTTTACTCTCCATGAAGTTTGGGGTCATCACTGTGAGTTATCCAGGCCATGATGTACCTTCTCCTTGGTCCTTATCAAAGATGCTGGAGGCCCTTGGGCAGGGGAAGGTCCTGGCCTGGGGCTCAGGATGACGCTGCGTCTAACCCTATTGCAGGCCTTCCTTCAGCTTTCATCCAAGTTTTGAACTGCATCCCAGGAGGGCGACTAACCATCAGGACTCCCAGTGCTTAGCCCAGGAATGGAGGGGCTCTTTCCCAGTCAGACCAGGGAGGGGCTGCGGGATGTGTCTTTCCATCCTCCTTGAGCAGCCCCTCTCTGTTTTATCCTGGGGCTTAGGAGAGAGCAGGTAGCTAAAGGGTTTTAGAAGTTGAGTGCTGGAAAGGCCCTTGAGGTCATCCAAGGGTGTTCA